CCCCCGCGGCCCCCCGCGCCCCGGGGGCTTCGGCCCCAGCCAGTGCGACCAGGGCTTTGTCAGCAGGAGACCCAGGACCCACACCAGGTCCACCAAGGGGCCTGGCCAAGGGTTGCAGCACACCCCTCGCGGGCTCTGTTCTGGAGCAGGGGAGGGCACAGCGGGCTCTGTGTCCAGTGGGAGGTGCTGGGCCTAGGGCCCACTTGGGTACTATGGAGGCGGCTACCTGGTGGGGCCTAGGCTGACCGGGTGGGCCATTCCAGAACACACTGAGGACAGCTTGTCGCAGAAGGACTGGGAGGAGAGGCTGCTGACGGTGAGAGGCACAGGGAGGGCTGGGGTGGTGCCAGGGCCACGCCTGTCGAGGTCCTGCTGTGGCTCCTCCCCAGCTGCAGGAGTCCCCCTTCCAGCCCCCGCTTGCCCAGAGCCACCTGGTACCCTGCCTCGGCCCTCAGCTAGAGGTCGCCACACCGCTGAGGCCACTGCGGGGCCACCTGGGCCTCAGGCCCCTCCCTAGCTGGGGAAGGACTCGGCCAGCCCTCACGTCGCCCTCGCACGCAGTTCCTGAGAGACACCCTGGCCACCGTCTCTGACAACACGTGGATCCGCCAGTTGAGCCTGGAGATGTGCAAGCAGCTGCCCTGTTACAACGGGATGCCCCAGGAGAAGGTGCGGGCTGGCGCTCCCGAGGCCCTGGGCACCATACTCGTGCCTGCCAAGAGGCGGCCCTGAAGTGTGGGAAAGGCCCGTAAGCCCCTCCCAGCAGCTGACGGCCAGCCGTGTGGGTGGGCCCCCCACGTTCTCCCCAGGCACAGCCCAGGGCTCAGCCCCGTCCTCACAGCCAGAGGGCACGGGGCAGTGGGGCTGTGCCACCCTCTCCACTGCAGAACTTCCTGTACCAGTGCATCGGGACCGCCCTGGGGGCAAGCCGGGAGGGCGTGAGAGAGCACCTCCGGGAGCTGTTGGCCACAGCCAGGTACCAGGAAGAGGCCGAGCACGAGGTGCGTACAGGCCGCCGCAGGCCCGCCAGCGTGTGCGTGCCCCCGTACATGGCGTGTGCACAGGGCCTGCCAGCATGTGTGTGTGCCCCCGTACGTGGCGTGTGCTCCTGTATGTGGCGTGTGCATGGGGCCTGTGTGTGGGCTCCTGTACGTGGCGTGTGCACAGGGCCTGCGTGTGTGCTCGCCTGTCTGGTGTGTACACTTGGACATACATTTGTGTGCTAACATGTGTGGCGTGTGCTCTTGCACGTGTGTCTGCTCACATGTGTGTGGCGTGTGCACGCACTGCCGTGGCCACACGTGCACAATGTGCTCCTCTATCCAGGCCCCACCAGACAGGTCCCTCCCAGAGTGCCCGGGTCGGAGCCTTAAGCCCAGCACCTCCGCCTGGCCCAGGCCCTGCTGTCTCAGAGCCTCGCGTACTCCCTTGGGGTGGGGGCACTAGGGTGCTGGCCCAGTGGCCAGGCACGAGGGTCCTGTGTGCCTAGGGCCTCGCCTGTTGCTTTGGGATTTGTGCCGTCTCCCACCTTGAGGACACCCTGGCCCAGCTGGAGGACTTCGTACGATCAGATGTGTTCAGGAAGTCCGTCGGCATTCTCAGCATCTTCAAGGTACGGAGACCCGGGGCCTGTCTGAGGTGTGAAGGCTGAGGCAGGGCTGCCCTCCAGGGCTCTGTCTTGGGGCACAGCAGGAGGCAAGACGTGGGCGAGTTTTGCTGCCTAATCCCCTCTGGTTGCACTGAGGCCTTGCAAGTGTGGACTCCCACCTGGCACGGTGGGCAGGGGGTCCCCCACAGTCTGTCTGCCTGCTTCTGTTCCCTGGTGACTGGTGGCAGCTGCTGCCCTTCTTGGGAAGCCATCGATTAAGGACCAGTGGACACCGTGGGCCCCCGCCCTGACCAGTGTCCCTGTTTTCTATGACTGTCCCAGCTGTGGAACCGCAGGACTGTGCTGGGCCGCCTTTCTTCTACATGCACAGAGGCGCGGGCCCTCTGTGGAGGGCTGCTCTAGAGATGCCGAGCAAGGAGGGGCTACCACGGTCACCCCCACTGTCCCTCCTACTCGCCCTCCACGACCCTCACCACCTCGGTCCTTTACCCTCTGCCACTTGGTCCTGACTGGGCCTGTGCCTGGCCAGCTATCCTGTACCCCTGCCGTTCCTGGCCAAGGGGCTCTTCTTTGTCACTAACCAGCTCTGGCCCATCTGGTGGGGATGCAAATGCTGGCGTCCGCACCCACAGTGGGGTGCATGCTGACAGCCAGGCCTCGCAGGACCGCGGTGAGCACGAGGCGGCCAAGGTGAAGAGCACGCTGCTTCTCTGCTACGGACATGTGGCCGCGCGAGCCCCCCGCGAGCTGCTGCTGGCCAAGGTCGAGTCAGACATCCTTCGGAACATGTCCCAGCACTACAGCACCAAGGTGGGCCCACGGCAGCCCTCGGGCTGGTGGGAGGAGGGGGCCCCACGCAGCAAGCCCTCACATTTCCCTCGTTTCGTTGTCGCTAGGTTCTGGGAGTGAAGGTAGAGACCAAGGTACGGTGTGGGGCCAGCACTGTGCTTCCCTCCTTCCTCAGGGCTGGTGGGCTGCAGCTGCACCCCCTTGCCAGCCTGGGCACCCAGCTGTCACGCTGGCTGCTCCCCTGTGGGCCTGAGCTCCAGGGCAAGCAGGCTGGGCCTTGGGCTCTGCTCTCTGCCCTTCCAGGGGCACTTGTCTCAACCCGTGGGCAGCGAGAAGGGGCCGAGGCCAGAAGCCAGGGGCAGTGGAGACTCCCCTGACCTCCTGAGCCCAGCCTGGCCTCACTAACATCTCCTCCTCCTTGCAACCCTGGCACTAACTTGCTAGACCCTTGCTGGGGACCGTTGGGCACCCTTTGAGGAACAGACCTTCCTGAGTCTCCTGGAGTCAGCTGGGAGGGCAAGGTGGTTTGAGAGTTTCTGAATTCCTAGCCCTAAGGAGTTGGAGCAACCTCAGGACAGCTCCTTTTGCCCCCGAGGACACTGGGGCAGGTGCCCAACTCAGCTGGACGCCCTTCTCTTGCCTAAAGGCTTCCGGCCCAGGACTGGGACCCGTGCCCCTGGGCCCCCGGGGCTTTCATCTGGGCCTCTCTGGCTCTGTGTGGACACCAACAGGCTAGCGTGTGTCCCTAGCTGCGAGAGGGCTAGGGCGTGAGCCTGCCCGGGGGGTGTTGGCGGCTGCAGCCTGTTGTCCCTCCAGGACCCGGCCCTGAAGCTGTGCCTCGTCCAGAGCTTGTGCATGGTGTGCCAGGCTGTCTGTGCCAGCACGCAGCCCCGCTCCTTCCCACTCCCAAGCAAAGCCGAGCTGGTGGCACAGATGATGGTGAGTGGCAGCCCAGGAGAGCAGAGGGTGACACGGGCAGTGCAGGGGCAGCAGGGCCGCGGGTCTGGCAGGAGGCCAGCTCTCTGCGTCCCGCGCTGCTCCCCCAGGAGTTCATCAGGTCGGAGCCCCCAGATGCTCTGCAAACGCCCATCCGGAAGAAAGCCATGCTCACCTGCACATACCTGGTGTATCCTCCGCCACTGTGTCCGAGGCCGACGGGGCTCTGCTGGTTGGGTGCAGACTCTCATGTAGTCAACCACGGTTCAAGTCCCAGACCCGGTGGCTTAAACTCACACCGGGAGCATGTGCATGCATGCCCAAGATCCCAAGAGGAGAATGGAGGAGAAGGGATTGCAGTGGGGCCATCCCCCCTGGGGGTGATTTCTCGAGCTTTCTGTCTCTCTGTCTCTCTGTCTTTCTGGTGAGCGCACACATCCTACAGCAAAAACCTCTCTCAAAAAAAAAAAAAAACATGATTCCCCAAGGAGGTGGGCAGCCATGCAGCAATCCTTTCTTCTCTATTATCCTCTTGGGATTTGGGGCACTCGTATGCCTGGCATGTTTTTCAAGGCCCCAGGTTTGGGACTGGAACTGCAGTCAGCCATGTGGGATCCAGCCGCCTTAACCGCCACGTCACTTGCTAGTCTGAGATCTTTTTACACCGTATCTTGAGAAAAGTCTGTAGTCTCTAGGGCGTGCTGTGTCTATAAACATGGTAAGACTGACTTCAGGGGAGAAGTTGCCCTGAGTCACCCACACTGAGACTGTTCAGTGTTGTATGTTTTTAAAAATTCTCACCAGCAAAGTCATGGAAGGACAGACATAAGCACAATATGGCCTCTATCTTCAGAGGAGAAAGTCCCGTATACACCCCCTCTACTGAAGGTAATTTTTAAAAACTATTTATTTATTTAATTCCATTTGTTATTATTATTATTTTTATTTTGACCAGAGAGGGACAGAGAGAGAGAGAGGGGACGTGAGAGAGCAGGCCCGTAGACCTGGAGCTCAGACCATGGCCGGCCGTGTGGGGTCCAGTGCCCGTAGCCACCACACCACCTGCCGGTCCCAGGCCCAAAGGCTTCTAGGCAGCCAAGCTTGGGGGGCAGCCTGGCATGGGCTCGTGCCTGACCCTTAACTTGCCGCCCAGCCCCCTGGAGCCAGCCCTGGGAGAGCAGGCACGGGCAGATATGGTCCAGACCTGCCTGCACAGCGTCCTGGCCCTGCCCCCTGAGCCCGAGGGCGAGGGCTGCAGCTGCCAGGAGGTATGAGTGTGTGGCCCTGCCTCGGGAGGGGTGTGGGGAGGCCACTGTGGACAGTAGGTCACAGTTGGGCCGGGTGGCCTGGCTGTGCTTCTAGTCCTTGTACCTGGACACGGTACGCGCCCTTGAGGACCTGCTGACGAGCCTCCTGCAACGGAGCATGACCCCCCAGGGCCTGCAGGTCATGGTTGAGGTATGGGCCGTGGCTGGGGTGACAGATCGGGGTGCAGAGGATTGCCCCGCCGGCCTTCTGCATGGTCTCCACAGGGACAGCCCCGAGTGCCCTGGGGGCAGGAATGTACGTGGGTACCTGAGCACTGCCCAGGCCTGGAACTGAGGCCCACGGGCTCTTGCTTGAGCCCAGGCATGCACCCCCCGGCCAGCTAGACCGCCGGCACTCCTCCCCGCTCTGCGTGTGCTGTGTGCGGTCGGCAGCCCCTTCTCTAGGTGCCGCTGTGGGCCATGGGTCCCGGTGGATGGTGGCCTGGGTGTGCTTCCAGCCCTCATACCTAGACACAGCGGCTCCAGGTCCCGCCTGGCTGGGCTGTGTCTGCACCCACACTGGGGACGGGGCAGGGAGGGCGAGCGGCAGTGGGCCCTGAGGTCTCGAACACTGCGCCACCAAGGCACCGGCTCCAGCTCTCCGAGCAGCCCTGAGCCAGCGCCTGTGTGAGCCCTTCTCCCCCAGCACCTAAGCCCGTGGATCAAGTCCCCGAGGGGCCATGAGCGAGCGCGTGCCCTTGGCTTGAGTGCCTGCCTGCTGCGGTACTTCCTGGAATACCTACACGTCAGCGTGAGTACCTGGCCGAGCCCTGCTCCAGGGTGGTCCTCACACCAGGGTGCCCAGCACTCTGGCACCTCCAGCCACTCGCCCCTCTTTCTGGATACATGGATTGAGGACCTGTGGGCACAGGTCCTGCCTTGGGCTGGGTGCTCAGTTGGGCGGACGTGCCCTTGCTAGCGAGGACCAGTGCCCGGTCTGTCCCGGTCTGCAGTGTGGCTGCTCGGCACAGTGTCTCACGGGATTGGCTAGGGATTCTTGGCTTTCTTTGATTGCCAGAGGGTCTGCGTGCTCCCAGAGAGGAGGAAAGCATTCCTGGGGTGTGGTCATGCCACAGCCCTTCTCTGGGTCTCCACCTCCTGGGGTTTGGGGCCTGCACTTGTGCCTGGTGTGTTTTTCAAGCCACTGGGGCTGAGCTCTGAACTGTGGTCAGCCGTGCGGGAGCGGCCCCCCAGCTGGCAGGCCGTGCAGTCAGTCTAGCAGTGCTTTGTGCTCCCAGCTCTGGGAGCATCTGTCCTGCTCCGTCCTGCTGTCAGTGTGCTAGAGGGTGTGCTCCTGGGGTGGGGCTCCATCCTGGTGGCAGAGGTAGCCATGCCCAGCCCGCTCTCCTTCGGGGTTTGGGCCTGCATGCACACACATTTGGTGCATTTTTCAAGCCGCTGAGCCTGGGATTTGAACCACATGGTCAGCCATGTGAGATCCAGCCGCCTTAACCTCTGTGTCTCTTTAACACAAACTTTTACCAGGAGCAGATATTGGGATTTGTCAAACTTATCTTTGTCATCAGAGTTATAGGCCATTTTCCCTCTCTTCTTTTTATTAAGAATTATTTTATTTAACTTTATTTTTTTTTAATTTGACCAAAGAGGGACAGAATGAGAGAAAAAGGTGCAGGGGAGTGAGAAGGCAAGGGCCGGGTCCAGGACTCGAACTGCAGCGGCCATGTGGGAGTCCACTGCATGCCACCACCTGCTGGCCCTTTCTTCTTCCCTCTTTTTTTGTTCGGTTTGTTTTTTGTTTTTTTTTTGTTCTGTTTTGTTTTGTTTTTTTTTCAGGGAGTTTTTTGCTGTAGGGCGTGTGCACTCTCTAGAAGGACAGAGAGAGACAGAGAGACAGAGAAATCATCCCCCAGGGGGGATGGCCACGCCGCAATCCCTTCTCCTCTATTCTCCTCTCAGGATCTTGGGTACGCATGCACATGCACCCGGCGTGAGTTTAAGCCACCAGGTCCGGGACTCAAACCGTGGTGGACTAAATGGGAGTCCAGTGACATAGCCGTTACACCAACTGCTGGTCCCTTCAGAGAGACTTTTGCTATAGGGCACGTGTACTCACTAGAGAGAGAGAGAGAGAGAGAGACACAGAAAGCAGGCAATCACCCTCAAGGTGGATGGCCACACCGCAATCCTCTCTTCTCCACTCTTCTCCATTCTCCTCTCAAGACCTTGAGCACACACGTACACACATGCCTAGCATAAGGTTTGAGCCACCGTGTCTGAGACTCGAGCTACGGTTGGTCACATGGGAGTCCAGCTGTAACCACGGCCCACCTGCTAGTCCCCACCGCCTGCTCTCGTGACCTGCTCGTTGCAGAGCCCTGGCCTGCTGCCCTGACCTCAGTGCCCGGGTGCGACTTGCACCAGCCCTTGCAGCAGCAGCCGGTGCCCACAGCTCCTGACCCAACCTCTCACTGCTGCCTCTGTGTCATCACAGTGTCCGGGCAGATGCCAGGTCTCTGAGGGGCCGTGGAGCAGGGCGTCTGGGCACAAGCATGTGGGGTTTCCCAGGAAGGCTCGAAGGGGCTGAGGGAGCAGGTGGGGGCAGGCACGTATGCTGGCGAAGCCTGAGTGGCAGGAGGGTAGTGATGGCGCCCAGCTGTCTACAGGGAAGCAAGGGGAAGAGGCCAAGAAGGGAATGTCAAGCCTTTAAGGGGCAAGGACCCCCAGGGCGACCACTACGTCTGGTCCTAGTCCGCAGAGCCCACAGTGCAGCCCTGCCCTCCTGCCCACCCGCTGCTGCCTGGAGCCCTAGGGGGACTCAGTATGGTCAGAGCTCCATGGAGCAGGGTCTAGGCTGGGCGGGGTCAGGGGAGAAAGGGTGTGGCCAGAGGGAGGCCCAGGGCTGCCCCCTATAGGGCAGATGGCGCAGCGGACACTTGCCCACACCCAGCCTACCCTGGCCCTCCCTCCAGGCCCTAGTGCCCTTCCACAACCTGGGCCTCCTCGTGGGCCTCTTCTCCCCACGGTGTGCGGACCTGTGCCCTGCCACACGCCGGGATGCCGTGGGCTGTGTCCACTCTCTGCTTTACCTGCAGCTGGGCTACGAGGGTGAGCCTCTGAGGCCCACAAGGCGGGCCAGGGGCAGAGGGGCTGTGAGGGAGGGGAGGGGAGGGGCGGGGCGGGGCGGGATATGGTGCTCCTGCTGTGGGGCCGCCAGGAGAGACCTCAGCCTGACCCCATCCCTCTTGCCACTCAGGCTTTGCCCGGGATCACCAGGATGACGTGGTCGAGCAGCTCCTCGCACTCAAGGGCAGCCTGGAGCACCCTGACCCTGCTGCCCTCTTCCACATCTGCCACAGCGTGGCCCAGGTGCATGCCAGAGCAGGGCTCAAGGTTCTAGCCGCACTGTGCGTCAGGCACTTCAGGCCAGCAGTCCAGGTCACGGGCGTCTCCTGCGCCTGCACCCGTCTTCCCACAGAGATGGCTTCTGGGGCAGACTCTGGGCCACGCCGTGCTGGTGTTCGTGGGTGCTGGCTGCCCCCAGTGGGTCCACCCCAAGGCCACGCAAGGGGCCGAGGACTCTAGCCTGCCCTTGGCTCTGGCTGGTATGGCACTTTGTCCCTCTGTGACCTGGAGTGGGGCTTCTTGGACAGGGGGGGCGCACCCAGCACCCGCCATGCTCCCTGGCCCTGGGTAGTGGCCCCCACAGAGGCCCCTCAGGACTCCCAGGGCTGAGAGAGCCATGACCACATGCCCGGCAGCGCTGCCCTGCCTTCTGTGGCCTGGGAGCGGCTGCCTGGGCCCAGAAGCTTCATATCAGCAGAGGAGGAGGAAGGGGAGGGTCCTTTGGCCTGCTGGGGCAGAGGCAGAGGCCGCTGGCTGGGGCAAGCTGGGCTGCCCAAGGTGGGACAGACTGGAGCGTTCCAGCGAGGCTATGCCACAGCCTCCTCAGCAGTGAGCGACCCCAGGAGGTGCCATGCTCCCCTCGTAGGGGCCCAGGAACCTCCAGGGAGGCTCTGCAGGGCGACCGGGCGTTCCCTGCCCTTGCTGTCCCCAGGTCATCACCAGGCGCCTTCCGTCAGACCAGCTCATCAGCCTCTTGCTAACCTTGTTCGAGGGTCTGGGAGACCCTGACAAGAACTGCTCCCGGGCCGCGACCGTCATCATCAACTGTCTGCTGAAGGAGCGGGGCGGCTTGCTGCTGGAGAAGGTGGGCGGGCAGGGTGCTGGCAGGGCGGGGCCTGTGTCTGCTAGAGCAAGTCCTCGCACGCGCACGCGGTGGGCTGGACGCTGGGGCTAGAACCTGGCTGAAGCAGCTCTCAGAAGAAACGGCGGGGGGAAGAGCTCAGGAAATGCCGGCACAGGCTTGGGGGCTGGCGCCGTCGGCCTCACTGAGCTCGTGCCCTGGTGCTGCAGAGTGTGCAGCACCAAGGCCCGCTCAGACCCAGGGAGGCTGCCGGGGTTGGGGGGGG